TAATAATAATAATAATAATAATATGTGGTATTTATATAGCGCCGATATCCTCTGAGTTCAAAGGCGCTTCACATGTATAGATCATTTCACACGGACCGCTGTTTAAGGCGCAATTGGCAGCCACGCGGCTTACAATCATGAGGGGTTAGTAATTAGTATGGGTTAGTAGTAAGGCCTAGCCACACACACCGGGAATCATTCCCTACTCTTATGCGAACAGTGGTGTGGGTTCTTTAACGTCCCTCTAATACAGGTTAGTAAGTGAAGTGTAGAGAGACGGCACCTCCGATTTTACGTCGTTATCCGAGAGGACGAGAAGATCTTACCATTTGCAGATGGAGAAAGACAAAGGCAGCAACTTCTCCTCAATTATTTTAAGACCCTGAGTGTTGGTCCGGCTGGGGTTTGAACCTGCGACCTCCCGCACTAAAGTCTGATGCTCTACCTACTGAGCTAACTGGTCGGCGGTTACATGACCGCTTGGTATATCACTCCCAACGATAATTGACACTCTCCGAATGTCGACTTGCGGGAATTGAATGTCGCTGAGGTGGGAGTGCTGTGACACATCAATCTCATCAGGTAGTTCTGGTATGGATAGGTTAAATGCATTGAGTACATAGGCTCCCTTAACAGGTATGTCTTGTCCGTTACGATCAGCGGCAGAGAGTTTGAACTTTACTCTTTCAGAATGTACATTAACATGGTTGTTTTTGATAGTGTTTTTGATATTAAGTTCACAAGATTCTACTGTACATTCCTATGCTAAGTTCCCAAGATCCTAAGATCCCAAAATCCTTAGTTCATAAGTTAGATCAGACGGTAGGCTACAGCTGAAATTGCTCGCGGGCTCATTCCATGATAGACTTACTTTCAAAATGGCGGCGAAACTCGTGTTGATGGTATTGTTTATATGCCTACTTTCCTTGGTAAATGCAGTTCTGGAATCCTACATCCCTGCTATTAATTATATTTAATTATATAGAACGTGACGATATTATTGAAAGATACTTTCACCTCGGATTCGAAAATCAAGAAATAATTGACTTTCTGACTATTACTCATGGGATAAGGATAAGCTTACGACAACTAAAAAGATTTATCAAAAGAAGAGGCTTAAGACGTAGGACAGGACAGACAGATTTGGGTCAAGTGATCAGTGCTATTGAACAAGAGCTTGAATGAGGGGGAAATGGAAAAGGCTACCGTGCACTGTGGCAGCGTTGAACGCAGAATGGTCGTCAGTAGAGAAACAGTAAGGCACGCTTTAAGGGTAATCGATCCAGAAGGAGTTTCTCAACGGCTTAGACATAGATTACGCCGCCGACAATATAGAGCAAAGGGTACGAATTTTTTGTGGCACATAGACGGTTATGATAAGCTTAAGCCATTTGGTTTCAGTATTCATGGCTGTATAGATGGCTTCAGCCGAGGCATAATGTGGCTCGAAGTGGGTACCACAAATAATGACTCCCGTGTTGTTGTACAGCATTTCCTTGACGTGCTGACTATGCGTGCTGACTATGGTACAGAAAATGTTAAGGTATCAGCGTACCCACGCGACCCCTACTCGCGTCATCGACTATAACGTTCTTGTTGTTTTGCAAATCCTCACAAACTATATATTTTCTGAAAGCTTAGTAATTGTAGTTTATGCCTATAAGTGTTTGAAATGCATTTAAAATTAGAGTTATTAGCTCCATTATCTGAAACTACATGCCAGTATAAAACGAACTCCAAGTCTGAAAGAATTATCGGAAAAAATTCAATTTAAGCGCTGTTCTTTTGTTCACATATTTGTCTCAAAAATTGTGTCTGCGATTTTTTATACGCGCTCTCATTACGAACGCAAAATTATGTCAAGTTCTTTAAAGAACCTTGAATAACTTGTGAAAAAAGACGACTTATCAAAATCCCAGACACAATTTTGTTGCTTAGCTATCTGTAAACAATGCTACGAAATTTGAATAGAATTGGTTTACGGGTATCTGACTTGGAGTTTAAAACGTATGCCCTACTTGCCGTAAATTTTGTTTCGAGAAACGAGTCTAAAACAGTTTTTAGCCCGTAATGGGATTATACCGGGTAATACCAGATTATAAGACCATACCGGAATCTACGTCATGTTAGCATAAAAGATGCGATGACAGCTATGAAACCGATTTAAGTAGTACGGTCAGTTAACTTTCAAAAACATCAACTTGTAACTCGTAAGATTTTACTAAATATACATTTTTTGTAGCAAATTTGGGTTAGGCCAAAGATAATATTCGATAATGTCCAGGAATGCCAAAGGCCAAGAAGATTAGCGATAGCAAAGCGAAGCAAGGATATGCTAATTGTAAATATAATATATAGTTGATTCCTATTTTCGCAAATTTTGACCGTTTCAAATCAAAACGTGTAAAATCATAATAAACTAATACAAGAGAAAGAAATGATTGAGTGATCCAGAGAAATGAGAGAGAAAAAGAAGCAGAATATGATTAATCGAGAATCAACAACATGAGGGTGATCAACTCTGGATCCCGGGACGGACTTTAATACTTAATCCATATGAAAACTACCGGTGAGTATATTTATCGAATATATTGCTTATTGGAGTCCTTCAAATAGACATATACTTTTGTTTCTTACGGCATGATTCAATCGACTCTCACTCTAAACGTGCGTATATAAAACTCGTTTGATGGGAGCTGTCATCAACGCCATTAATCCAATTAAGACTAAAAAATCTTTTGAGCGCAATAACTTTTGTTGTAAACTTCGTATCTTTTCAAAACTTTACTATATACCTAGATCTACAA